TGGTATTGTTGTCAGACATTTAACTTTTGCATCTGTTAAAATTCCACATTACATTATTATTTTACATTATTATTTTTGTTTCAATAGTTAATTATCTTTTAGAGGGATTTAAGTAATAAGAAAAAAACTCATATATTTGTCCATTTAGTACCATTTTCAGGGCTTTTTATTCCTTTGTATATATCGAAATTTCCATTTTTTTGTTTTGCCTGGAGATAGTGTAAGTCTTCTGATAATAAATTATTTCAGCTTTGGTATGTCTGAAAAAGTCTTTTGTTTTTTGTTTGGGTTCTGTTTTTTTATGTGTGCGTGTGTGTTTTGTTTTTGTTTTTTTACTTTCATTTTTGAAGTATATTTCACTAGGCAAATATCTTTTTACTGAAGTGGTGGATTTTTTTTTTCCTTTAACCACTTTAAAGCTATTGCTCCCTGGCTTCTTGTTTTCATTATTTCCAATTTTAAAATCTGCTGTCATTTTATCTATGCTTCTTTGTATGTATCTTATCTTGGTTTGTATTCAAGATTTTCTCTTAATACTGGTGTTGAGAAATTTGTTATAATGTGCTCTGGTATAGGTTTCTTCATGTTCCTTGTGCTGGGGTTTCATTGAAATTTTTAGGTCTGTGGGTTTGTTGCATTAGATTTTGAAATTTTATATTCATCTTTTCTTCAAATACATTTTCTGTCCCCCCTTCTCTCTCCACCCCTTTATGAACTCTGTGCCACATCCTACTAATTTTCTGTTCTTTTTTCTGATTGTGTTTCATTTTAGATAGTTTTTGTTACTGTCTTTAAATACATTAATATTTTCTTCTGTAGTTTCTCTTCTGTGATTAATTCCATAAAGTGTATTTTTCGTCTCATTAGTTGTAGTTTGCATCTGTAGAAATTTGGCCTAAGTACATATGGACCAGTGGAATAGGATGATGGAGATTCTGGAAGCAAAACCTCAATTTCTCAACCACTCATCTTCAACAAAACCTCCACCAGTAATCACTGGGAAGAGGAGAACCTATTCAGTAAATTGTGCTGGGAAAACTGGCTGACCACATGCAGAAGATTGAAACAGGACCCCTACCTATCACCATACACAAAAACAAATGGATCAAAGACCTAAACATAAAACCTCAAACTATAAAAACCTTAGAAAATGCAGGAGACACCCTTATGACAATTGAAACTGGCAACCAATTCCTGATCAAAATTCCAAATGCCCATTCCATAAGAGATAAGATAGGCAAGTGGGACCTTACCAAAATAAATAGCTTCTGCAAAGCAAAAGAAACCATCAAGAGAGCAGGGATGCAGCCCATAGAATAGGAAAAAATATTTGTCAGCTGTATATATGACAAAAGCCTAACATTCAGGATCTACAAGGAACTTAAACAAGCTAAAAGGAAAAAAACAGCCCCATTAAAAAAGTGGACAAAAGACATTAATAGACACTTCTCAAACGAAGATAAATGGGCAGCCAACAGACACATGAAAAAAGTGCTCAACCTCACTGATCAAAGAGAGATGCAAATCAAAACCAGACTGAGATACCACCTAACCCCAGTAAGAATGGCCATCATTAATAAAACAACAACAGATGCTGGCGAGGATATGGAGAAAAAGAAATGCTTCTGCACTGTTGGTGGGAATGTAAACTAGTGCAGCCTCTCTGGGAAAAAAAAAAATGTGGTGATTTGGACAATGACCTTCCATATGACCCAGCAATCAACAATGCCCATACTGGGAATATACCCGGAGGAACTCAAATCATTGTACAAAAAAGATACCTGCACATGCATGTTTGTTGTAGCACTAGTTAGTCACAATAGCAAAAACATGGAACCAACTATGCTGCCCATCAAAACTGGACTGGATTTAAAAAAGTGATACAGATACACAATGGATTATTACGCAGCCATAAAGAAGGACAAACATATGCACTTCACAGCAACTTGGGTGGATTTAGTGTTTATTACACTCAGTGATCTATCACAGAAACAAAGAACAGAGTACCACATGTTCTCACTCATAAACGAACCGTGAACATTTGCCATAATACTATAAGAAAGGGATTGGCAGTAATGGAATACTGCCGGGGCAGGGGTTAGGGGCACACAACATCAATAAGGGAAACTGATCTCAAACCAGGCAAAGTGGGAACCAAAGGGAGGCCCAGACTTCACCTGTATGATGACCACTTGTATTGAAATCCTGAATTGTACTCCACATCTTTAAAATAAAAAAATTGTTTTAATTAAAAAAAAATAAGTTTGGCCTAAGTATTTTTATATCTTTCTGCCTGTCCTTTGTGTGAGTGTCCAGCACTCTTCCCTTTGATCCTCTCAGGAGTCTCTGTGGGCCTTGAGTAATATACATACTCTGCTCAGTCTTCCCCTGGATATTCAAGGACCCTCTGCATGACTCCTTGGCTCTCTGTATTTCTCTTCCCTCCAGTACTCTGTCCTAGGAAACACAACTGACTTGCTTCCCTGGACTCTCAGCTCAGGGGTCTGCCACGCTCTCCCTGAGTTCCTTACTCTGAACAGAGGCCTGGTGGTAAACCATCATTGTGATTTTAGTATTCTCTTTAAGGGAGGAGTAAATGGCCATGAAAGCCAGTGAGGAGCATGGTGATGGATGGGTGCAGACTACTGGGGCGTTCAGTGAGTTGTGTGGAGCACATCTGAGAGTGCATTGTGCTGCTCATGGCTTGACAGCTCAATGTCTGGTGCAGAATTTGGGTCATTTCATGTTTTAAACACATTCTAAAGACTCATATCCTAAACCAGTTTTGATTTTGGTGGCCTGTAACATCCATGTCGGATGAGCTACCAAGCTCAATATATGAATGCAGACATGGGCATTCAATTCCTTGTCATCCAAGTGTCAAGGAGACACTTGGGAGGCCAAGGCAAGTGAATTGCCTGAGCCTGTGGATTTGAGACCAGCCCCGGCAGCTTGGCAAGACCTCATATCTACAATAAATAAAAAAATTAGCTGGGCATGGTAGTGTGTGCCTGTAGTTCCAGCTACTTGGAAGGCTGAGGCGGATGCATCACCAGAGCCCAGCAGATCGATGCTGGGGTGGCCATGAGTGTGCGTGGCACTGCACTCCAACCCAGGCAACAGAGTGAGACTCCACCTCAAAAAAATATATATTTATATATTTCAACCCTGCAAAATGAGACTGTGATTAGTTAAGATGACATGGTTTAAATAAGTAAAAAAAAATATGGGTGAAAGAACTTCAAAAAGTTCATGGAAAATGGAATTAAAAAATAAAAATTTTACAAATGTAAACTGTATCTCACCACAAGCTTTATTAAAGTCAAGACACTCTTATAAATGATAACACCATCCATTTAGTGCATCCTCAAAGAACTGAGGGTCCTGGGAATTTAACTATGTCAATGCAGTCTCTTTTACATTATTAACTGAAGAAAAATGGATGACCTTTACAGATTTTTTTAACATTAGGAAAGGAAGTCAGAAGAAGCAAAATCAGGATTATAAGGTCACAACTCTCACAAAATTGTCCTTGTTCCATAGGAAAAATGAACAGGAGCATTTTTGTGGTGAAGGACTCTGCTGGTGAAGCTTTCCCAGGAGTTCTAAAGCTTTGACTAATTTTCTCAAAACACTTAATAAGCAGATGTTATCCTTCTTTGGCTCTCCAGAAAGTCAACAGGCAAAATGCTTGCACATTCCCAGAACTGTTGCCATGACCTTTGCTCTTGTCTGAGTCCATTGTGGCTGCAACTAGACCACCTTCACCTCCTGGTAGCCACTCTGGTTATTCTTTGTCTTCAGGATCGAGAAAGCCACGTTTCATCTTCCATTATGATGATTTGAAGAGCTACTTCGGGATCTTGTTCCTACTTGTCTAAAATTTCCATGGAAAGCTCTGTTCTTGTCTAGAGCTCATCTGGGCACACCAGTTTTGGCACAATCAAGTGGAAAGTTTGCAGAACTTTAATTTCTCAGACAGAACTATGTAATCTGAATTGATTGAGATGCCTATGTTGTTGGCTATTATTTTGTGCTGTAAATCGTTGGTCCTCTTTAGTTAGGGGATAAACACCCACAAATGATGTGGATAGTCTGCTGCTGTGGGCATCATCTTCATCTTCATCATCTCATTTCTTCTTTAAATGAGTTAGTCATATATAAACTGCTGAATTCTTTGGGGCACTATTCCCATAAACTTTTCATGAAGCATCAGTGATTACCATTCTTCCGTCCAAGCTTCCCCGTAAATTTGATGTCTGTTCTTACTTCAATTTTGGCAGAATACCTGTTGCTCTGATAGGGGCTTTTTCAAACTGATATCTTATCCTCCTTGGTTCCCCAAACTAGATCCTGTTTAGATGTGTTATAACAAATTAGTATGAGTTTACTTTGGTGCAAAAAATTTTTTAAGATCCATGTTGTTTTTTTCATAATGTGCATTTTCCATGAACTTTTTCAAGACCCCATATATACTTTTGGTAAGAGTTAGGGTTTCCTGTTGTATCTGGGGTGTCACATATGCAAAGCTGTGTGGCCTAGATGTGCCTGGCCTCTAAGTGACAGGGAAGCACATGCAGGGTGTGAGCACCCAAGGCACTTGTGACACACTAAAGAGCAGCACCTCTATACAACCTTGTAGGACCTGCATTAATCCCCAGAGTGGCTCATCCATCTAGCTCTGTTAGCCCCAGAGTGAGCTGGGCCATGCTTGTCAGAAAGTCTCCTGGCATGAGGTTTCTGTCTACCTTCTACTCACCCGCCCAATCAGACAGGTGCATGTCTGCAGGTCGTTTCTCTTTTCTTGGTGCTGCTCCTGTCATGGGCAGCAGTGGAGGGTATGAGGCCTGCTGTGGCATGAGTATACCTTACTCGGCAGATAGAGCTTCCTCACCACGTGCTTGTGACTGCATCTGAGCACCGTGTGTCACGCCTGACCTCCCCTCCCTCCTGGGTTGATGCAGGCATCACATCACCTTCCTGTGTCTGCTTCGATCCAGGCATCAGCAATGCAGAGGCGCGACAGCCAGGGAAGGCACCCAACTTCAGTGTCAACTGGACGGTAGGCGACTCTGCTATCGAGGTCATCAACGCCACGACTGGGAAGGACGAACTGGGCCGCGCGTCCCGCCTGTGTAAGCACGCGTTGTACTGTCGCTGGATGCGTGTGCACGGCAAGGTACTGAGGTGCCCTCAGCGCGATGCAGCCCACTCCCCGGTAGCCTGGTTGTCTTTACCCTCCCATTCCCAAGTGGTTTCATCTTTGAGTTCTCAGGCGCAGTTGCTCCCTTGGAGCCTCTCATTCCTTCAGAATGTCGGTGGTTTACAAGTATGGTCCTGGCGCTTTGAGCCCCAGAGCCCTCTCAGAGGCAGCACTTTGCCCTTACCACAGAGGGAGACCCACCGCCCAGGGATCTCAGATGCAGTGGAAACTGCTCTCACTGCTCAGCCACTGAAAATTGCCATGAGAAAAACAAGTGGTTGCTCTGCCCCTTCCACTTAGCAATGTGATACCAAGTTGGGTTCTGCTAACACTACAAGAAGGGTTCTAACCCTTTTGTTTTAGCCACAAGACTCCTTTCTCCCCAAAATAAGACCTTATGTAGTAAATTAGGATAATCTTTGTTTATATTCTTAAGTTTATGGCATTCATTTATTTGGAGGCCAGCACAGAGCATGGGTGTGGGAGGTACAGGTAGAAGTGACAGTGCCTGGTAGGGTCCTGTTTGTCCAGGGGGATGGAACCTGTGCAGCTGCCACAGAAAGGAAGACTTTGGGTTCCTTGGGGTAACAAAATGTATGTCACAGCAGCAGTGCTGCTTTTAAATGGCTAAAGATGTTAGAAATGAAACGAATTAACTGCATGTAGTTTGCCAGAAGCATGTCTTAAGAGCCCGAGTCAGTGATTGCCTGCATAACTGGCAGGACTGCTGCATGGAGGCCATACCTCAGCCATGCTCCTGGCAGCAGGCACCTTCTCTGGGCTGTTCCCCATGAACCAGCACAGTACTGAAGGCCATACATCAGCCATGCTCCTGGAAGCAGGTGCCTTTCCTGAGCTGTCCCCCATGAGCCAGCATGGCACTGGAGGCCATACATCAGCCATGCTTCCGGCAGCGGACACCTTTCCTGGGCTGTCCCCCCAGCCTGCACAGTGCTGAAGGCCATTCCTGGCTGTTGACTACGTCTTAGTTCCATCTGCTTCAGTTCTAACAGCTGTCCTCTCCTTTCTATCCTCTCACAGGTGCCCTCCTACTTGCTGCGCTCCAAGATCACCAAACCCAACATGTACCATGAATCCAAGCTGGCAGCCAAGGAGTACCAGGCCGCCAAGGCACGTCTATTCACAGCCTTCATCAAGGCAGGGCTGGGTGCCTGGGTGGAGAAGCCCACAGAGCAGGACCAGTTCTCCCTCACACCCTGACCTGGGGTGCACAGCAGGAACAGGGGCTGTCGGGCATCCAGCATCAGCCCCAGAGCCTCGCCTCTGAACTGGGGGCAGGTGCACACTCGGGGAGGGCATGGGGACGTGGGGGACCACCAGGCGTGCAGCGCCGTCCCGGCGTCTCATCGCAGAACTGGGCAGGGGTGTGGCGTGGGTGTGCACAGGGCTATGGGGCACAGTCGCCACCTGGCCTCTTTCCCACAGCGTCGCCCCTTCTGAATCGTCCAGCGACTGCTTTCAACCTCCGTTTACGTCTAGAAATTGAGTTCTACTGAGTAGGGCTTCCTTATGTCTAGGAAAATAGAAACTACTTTGTGTGAAATTATTGAATAAATAATTTATTCAGAGCTAGGAATGTGGTTTATAAAATAAGAATTATGTCAGACCACTTTTATGCCACATCATTTTAATTGCAAGAAAGCATCTCCACATGGAGGCAGGGAGAAGGTAGCAGTAGGAAGTAGTCACCCACAGGAGCTGCCACATGTATCTGAGCTTAGGTTTCTCCATAGGTACTTCCGTGGTTAGTTTCACATATTAGATTTAAACATCTCTCCTGGGAGCAGACTCCCAGCATGATGTAGTGACACTGGGTCTCACCACAGTGACTGTGTGTCCCTTAGAGTTGTGACCCAGGTCCCTGTCACCCTCAGCCGCCTCTAGAAGCTTCTGTACTCCTTGTAGGATCAGATCATGGAACCCTTTTCTCAGTTTACTTCTAAATAATCACAGATAAAATATGGCCAGCGACTCTGTGCTGGCATTCACTTGGGTTTGTAAGACAATGTTTAACTTGTATGAACTAGAAGGAATCATAGGGGCTCCTGCACATCCCACAGCCTAGAACTCCCTCATTCCTTCCTCTGAATCTAATGGACATGAATGACTGCCCAAAGACCTTCACAGGATGGAAACAGGATTAGTTAAGTGGATGTTTATCCTTAGGGAAATGCCACATTTTAAGTTTTTAAATTATTCTTTCCAGCTTTATCAAAGACATGTTTGAAAAACCAAAAGCATCCAGGTGAGAGTGGGTAAGCCCACATGCCGCTGGCATAGTATAGACTAGACATTGACTGTCATAACAGGGGGCTCAGGGAGCTGCGCTCAGGGCCCTTGGTGCAGACTCCCTCAGCCAAGCTCAGATTCTGCACTGGGTGCCTTGTTGCCTCACTCAGGATGAGAGGGGAGTGGGAGGGGTGTTCCAGGTCAGTGTCCACCTTCAGAGGCGTCTCCTGGTCCCAGAGATGGGTGCAGACCCCACCTCCCAGCATACCCCCCCCCGAAAAGTCTGGGGTGTCAGCACCTGCGTCCTTTATGGGCTTACAGAAATAGGAACAGGAGCAGAGGGGCTGCCATCATCCCCAGCAGGTCTCAGGAGCCCTGTCTGCATGTGTGCACATGGATGTATCATGGCTGTCTCCCCTGTGTGGTAAGAAGGGACACTACTCAGGGCTCACTGTTGGGGACACAGCCAGGTTCAAAACGTGAACATCTGTCCACACCAGCCTTTTCTCCTGAAGAGGATAGTTGTCTCCATAAGCCAGTCAGAGCAGTCACAAGCCAGTCGGCCCCTGCATCACCATGGGGAAGGGGTGGGTGAGGCATATTTGGGTAAGATGTGCCAGGGTTTTCTTCATGCCTGCAGGAGGAAAGGTGTCTGGGGTGTCACTGCCCTCCTAAAGCAGGCTCTTGTACACTCTAGGAGACAATGTGTGAGGCTATGTTTTTATTCTTGTCTCTACAAATTGTATTTTTTTCTAATGGGGATTGGCATTAGTTTTTAAAAATAAGTGAATTTTGGTTCCGAAGTTTAGTGGAGATATATTCCATATGCACATGAAGCTGTGCAGTATGCCTAGCCATTACCCTCTGTCAGGTCATAGTTGGCATGACTGTGGCTGCCACCTCCCTGCCCACATCAATGAATGAGTGCCTCACTGAAGCCCAGGGCTGAGTGAGGGGATGCCTGTGGCAAGGGCAGGCACAGGGCTCCCCACCCAGAGTGACCAGGCCTAATTCAGAAAGTCCTGGGGAGGGTGGGGGCAAGGGACCCCGTGTACTCCTAGGACAGCTCTGTGATCAGAAAAATATAAGAATGCCAACTCCACCATGAGACAAATCAGGAAACATAGCACTTTACCCTCCTTTGGACGCTGGCGTGCGTTATACTGTAGCTATTCCTTCAAGGGGCCGTGTTGCTCCTGTGCCCTCGATCAGGACTTTAGAGACTTTGCAGAAAACTGAACACAATGAAGAGCTTGATTTTTTTTTTTAGAAAAATCTTAAGTGTTGAGGACATTTTAATAGTAGGGGATGGGAAGGTTTCTGTTTTGTTTTGTTAGCTCCACCTGAAGCATTAATTCCACAGAGACACTGTCCCTCAGCACCACTCAGGTACACTCTGCCAGGGCCACGTCCAACAAGGAGGTCAGTGCCAACAAGAGGTCCCCTGGAGTGGGGGAGTGGCGTATTCCGAGCCAGGAGCCAGCTGCAGGTTGAGTGGGTGTCAGTGTGATCACCTGTGTCAGCCCTGGTCACCTGCTCATCGTGCCACAAGGGCCACCTCTTCCCAGCAAAGAACTGCAGTTTTGATTCTGTTTTACTGTAGCTTCTCATCATCTTTTCCTATTTTGGAGAATTTTTTCTAATTAAGAGCAGTTACTTTAAAATGTACAAGATGACATAAGGCATTGGTTTCTCTGGAATTTTTTTTTATTCAAATAATTGTCTTACATATCCCCAGGTTGCAGTCGCTTCTTTCTTTGTAAGGATGGGGTTTCTCCCGTTTCACACAGGCACACTGAGGAGGTGGTGGCTCTCTCCTCACACATGCAGATCTGTGGGTGGAGTGTGTGACTGTGGGTATCTGCACACCTGGATTTGTCCCCTTTCTCAAAATCAGGGAACAGGTACAACACAGATGGATCTTTTTCACTTCTGAAATATTTTACACCAGAAGTGTAAGGTCTGCCCTGACCGTAACTTTGATCCAGCAAAGAAAGGAAATTAGCTGACTCTCCCTGCCCCTCAATTCCATCAAATTATAGACTGTCTCAAAAGGCTCCTTTTTATCAACCCAGACTACATAAGAGGAAAGGGCAGAGTATTTGTGTCCAGTGTGTGGTTTGTGTGTCCTTGCCCCTACCATGTTGTGTGACAATCTCTCTGAGTGTAAGGAGAAGGGAGCACCCACCTGAGGCCATGTTTGCCCAATGCTGGGGGATAGGACTAGGGAAGGTGCCGAGGTGGGTGGAAGGTCTGGCATGGTCATGACTAGTTGTGAGGGTGTGTCCATTTTTTTGGTCCTGTGTGAAAGTCCTCCTGTCTGGCAGCATTGTCTGCACTTCTGTGTTTACTGTTTGGAGGGATGGCTACCAAACCCCAGAACATGGATTCTGGCCACAGCATGAGCTACTGTTCTGTACACAGCTGCTGGGCCATTCTTCTGAGCATACATGTGAGTGATGAAAAGCACAGTTACTGGAACACGAATGGAGCGAGCCCCTAAAGCTGTGTGCTTATCCTGGCTTTGGGTTATATGCTTTTAATTTGATTTTAGAACTTGGACACTTTATATGAATGTAATCCAGCCAAGAACCCTGTTGCTAAGCTACAGTCCTCAGTGTCCTCTGTATATCTGTGTATCTGCCACACCTTCCAGCCTGCATGAGCTTCTTCTCAGAGACCAGCCGGGACTGAGCATGAGACGCTGTCATATATAGACAAAGGGTTTGAGATGTTCTCAATAAAAAGCAAAATGTTTCACTACTGTGCTGTGCTGAGACTTTCTTTTACAGTTGTTTCTGTCCTGGGCTCCAAGGGCAGGTCTGGGGTCAGTCCTGGTGGCAGCACCACCTGAGAGGTATGACTGAGCATCGGACCTTATCCCCTGCTGCATGTGGTACTGAGTGCTCATGTATTTGTCCAGTTTGGAACAGCCCCGCTTAGCTCCCACCCTCACAGTCCTCACCATCTCCCTGGAGAGCATGTGGCTCCTCTCCCTAGATGAAGCGGTGTCAAGGAAAATCACGCAACTACCCTACTGTGTCCCATCTGTGAAAGGGACAATGACACAGCCACACTCCCTGTTTAGCTGTGTGGAATAGTGTAGACAAGAGACATGGGAGGAACCTGGATATTCAGCAATGGATGATCAGGTAGAGAGGGTATGGGGTGCAGTGGAAAGCTGCAGGCACCCAAGTTACAGTATAGAACTGTGGCATTTCCAACTATAACATTCAGGACATTCCTAATAAAGTAAGTGGAAAATTGTGGCAAAGCAGCACTTACATCTCATGGTTGTAAAGAAATGGACATGCACATGTGGAAAAGTCTAGAAAGGAGAGAGTCTGGTCATGGTCTGCAGATGATGGGATTTGGGGTGACTTTAATTTGTTTTCTTTTTTAAAACTCATTTGTTTGTCTAATGTTTCTATAGTTAAATGAAAAGTAGCTTAGGACAATGTTTTGAAAAGTCAAAGTCACCATACAAATAAAAAGCAGCATTATTATAGACAAATAACTTGGTTTTCTCTTTTGCACCAATTTTGAAACTTTCATTTTTTCTCCACAATAAAAACAACATTAAAATTAAAACAGTTGCATTAAAAAAAGGTTAAGCTTCAGAAAGACGGATGGAGGGAATCTCTCCATGACAAGGGTACCTTAGAGCAGAATTTCCTCGTTGCCTCATGTCAGTGGAGCATCCACACTCAATATTCTGTCATGGAAGTGGGGAGATGACCTGTATTTTACCAAGTGAAATGAAAGTTCTGCTTTAAAAGAAATATTGTATGATGCGTCTCCCAGAGCCTGACTTCATATTGTGAGGTTCTTGAGCTTTTACCCCGTGAATGTGTATAGAATGCCCATGAGTCCTGGTGCCTGAGCAGATGGGCAAGCAGGACCAAGTGCAGCCTCAGACAGCAGCCCCTCTCCTGGGGGAAAGGCCAAATAAGCACACTTGCCACCCGTGTCATGGCGGTACCTCGGAAAAGAGGCAGACGAGGGTTGCTGAGTGGGCAGACTGCCATGTAAATACGGGATTAGGGTTTGCCTCATGGCGGGGGGTGTGCAAGATGGAGACAGCCGAGGAAGGCCTTGCCAGCTGGGATCTCCAGTCGAGGTGTCAGCTACTGCACTGAAGGTTGCAGTGCCAGGAGCTAGGCCAGCCAGTGGTTGAACACAGCCATCATTGAAAAGTACACTGCTAGCCAGGCTCGGTGGTTTAGCCTGTAATCCCGCAATTTGGGAGGCTGAGGTGAGTGCATTGCCTGAGCCCGGGCAACTTGGTGAGACCTCATCTCTACAATAAATCAAAAAAATTAGCCGGGTGTGGCAGTGCGCACCTTATAGTTCCAGCTACTTGGAAGGCTGAAGCAGAAGGATTGCTGGAGCCCACCAGGTTGAGGCTATGGTGGCCGGGAGCGGCCACTGCACTCCAGTCTGGGTGACAGCAAGACTCCAACTCGAAAAATAAAAAATTAAATTAAATTTTAAAAAAAGTACACTGCATAAACGTTGAATTAAATTGTGTTAAAAACAAAGGGAACAAATACAACACACCACTTCCTTATGGTTTTGCTGCATTTGACTACAATCTGCACTCTTATTGTGCACATGCAATACAGCAGTGGGCACAGCCCTCCCAGCCCACGTTCAGAGGTTGGTGTCAGAGCTTGGAATCAGCGGTGGAGGAAGGTCTACACCACAGGTATCTGCAAACACATGACTCAGCTTGATTTATTGTGGTTGTCTCTAGACCTAGAAAGTAATGGAGAAGATGCGGCTCAAACTTAAAATGTAACTGTTACATTGCCAATGGCACCAAAAACTCAAGAAATAGCCTTGCAGTCTCAGAAAACTGTTATCCACGTGAGCACGGCAGTCACTCACTCACTGAATGAGAGATGCGCTGACAAACACCTCCTTGCCTCACCTTCATCTGACTCGAACTGAAAACATCCACCAATGCTTGTCAGAAACCCACTCATGCAGCAACCCTATGTCGACTATAGTTACAAGGTTGCAGCAAAAGTCAAGGGAAGCACTCTGTGAGAACTGGCTCTGTAGGGTTTATAACAGAGTCCTGTACAATTCACTCATGTTTTTAAACTGCACACTTCTCTCTTAATAAAATTTACAGTAAGCTTACACATATGTGTGCATACACGGGGAGGGATAGCTTGTGGTTTAGCATTTATTAGCATACCACTGGATCCCAGGCATACTTAGGAACAAATTATGGTTATGCAAAGGCCCTGTGCTGGTGAGAGGCACGACTGTGGGAGCTAATCTGCCTCTGACAGATGCCCCCTCAGTCCCACCCTTCAGGACTGGTGACACTGGCGTTTCCTTTTATAGCTGCAAAGGGCATGCCTGGGGTCAGTGTGAAGCCAGGCCTGAGGGATGAGGAATGAGTGTGGGTTTCTCATGCCTTTCCCTACTCCTCATGGCTTGGGAAGTGGGCACTGAGCCCCCTCCCCCCCCCCCCGCCCATACACTAGCTTGGCCAAGCAGCTAGTACCTGTGGGGAAATGACTTCAAACCTCATAAGGAGAAATAACACTGAGGAGTTACAGCAATTCCAAATAAAAATTGTAATCCTGAATTAGACATTCCACTGGGATGTATTCTAACTCATTAGAACAGACAGTCCAGGAATTTAAAATTAACTTAATAAACATTCTAAAAGAGATAAGAAAACAAAAGAGAGCCAAGCAGAATTTGAAGGAGTGAACATAATAGCCAAGCTGAAGAATAGAATGAACTTGCAATTGGGAGGCCACATGGGAAAAGGAAATCTAGACTAAATAGTAGAACATTTGGATTATGAAAGTGCTAATAATATCTGACTGATAGGGCATCCATATACTTTGTTACCCACAGCAGGGCACTGTTAACCATATAAACTGAAGCCATTGCAGTTGAAATGATGTGTTGAGCCTTCCTAAAAGCGGGGTGAGGGGATCCAGTAATGGAGAAGAAAAGAGAATTTAGATGAAACAGTGCTGGCCAAGTGTTGACAGTTGCTGGGCTAGGACTAGGAACTCATACTAGATATAAACATACTGTTCCCTCTGCTTCTGTGCATTTGAACATTTTCAAGAAGTTTTAGAAAGCCCTAGCACAAACTTTTTAAAATGTCATTTATTTCATACTCTAAGTGCTCATGGGATTTTTTTAGTACCAAAGGAAAAACTTTAAATGCTATAAAATAGAAATTTTCCAAGTTAAAAAAAAAATAAGAAAAATATCAGGAAGGTTTTTAAATGGCAATCATTTACTTCCTTAGCCATTTCCAATGTATTTTTGTGGAAAAAACTACTTTATGTCTCGTTCTCCCTGCTTGATTTTTCTTCCTGACACTTATCACAAAATTTGTGACAGACATTGGTTTGTTCATGGCTATTCACGGCTATTTATTGATTTGTTCATGGCACAACCCTCTATGCAGCAAACATTTAATAAGTATGTTTGAATTAAGTCAAAAAATTCTTAGATATATCATCAGAGCTTTGCCACACAAAGACCCACATGGAAACAGTCTGGGATGCTCGATTTGTGAAACAAAATTTATGAAATCTTACAAGTGGTTTATGAAGTAAAAATGATCAGTACCTTGGTAAGTGTGTGGTGGTTCTTAAAATGCTAAAGCCAAAGTAAAATAAAATATATACCTTTAAATAACCCAAAATTTAAAGTCTGGATAATATCACTGTGATGAGACTGGGGTGATGTGGAGACCAAAGAATATGAGACTATGTTGAAGTTTGTGTCTCGTTGGGACAGAGATATAAACATCCAGATTTTTTTTAAATGAACACATGTCAAACATTTTATGTCAGTTTTAATAAAATTGCTAATAAGGGAATAGGTAAGATGTATTCAATTGAGAATTTGACCTACTCTACTGTATTAAATGCAGGGCCTTTTATCTGCTTGTCCAAGTCAAACAGTGGGGACAACATGGAAGCCCACAGCTGATAGATAAATAATTTGATCTTATGAACATCAAGTGCCTCTCTGATCCCCTCCACAGGCAGTCAATCTATTTATCTAACTTCATGTATCTCAGGCTACTGCCTCTGCTCATTTGTCTTATTTTCTATAGATGACTTGGATATTCTTAATACTGCAGACACACCTTACACTGTGCCAGCTACAACACTTACTCTTTTTTTTAAAGCAATAAGTATCTTCCTTTTCATGAAACACAAAAGAAACTTTGATTATTATGCTTAGCAGAATTAATGGGGGAAGGTTTTAATTAATTGTTTTAGTTGGGTTTTTTTTAGTCAGTCACATCTTGTTGCCCAAGCTGGAGTGCGGTGGCACGCTCATAGCCACCACAACCTCGACCTGCTAAGCTCAGGCGATCCTTCTGCCTCAGCCTTCCAAGTAGCTGGAACTACAAGTGCATGTCACCACACCTGGCTACTTTTTTAATTTTTTGTAGAGGAGAGGGCTTGCCAAGTTGTCCAGGCTGGTCTCAAACTCCTGGGCTCAGGCAGTCTTCTTGCCTCCGCATCTCAAAGGGTTGAGATTGCAGGTGTGAACCACCATGCCCAGCCTAAAATTATTTTTAGACTTGATTCTTATTTAGTATTTGACTCCTGAGAGTAATGTTCCATAAACATATACACAAGTCCTCACTGAGTACATAACCTGAATATTTACCTACATGTTTCATGAAAGTGATACAAATTAAGAAAAGCAGTATATAGACTCATTTTCTTTTCATGACATATTATAAAGTGGGTCAATTAA